CTTGAATGACTCAGAAAAATAATAGACTAACCAAAACCCAATTGAATGGTAGATGAGTCTTTTTAATGGTTTATTCAGAGATTTCAGCTTTAATTGGTACCTTTACTAATTTCATTTTTGTTTTTGCTTTATTACTACTTAATAAATGGGAAAATGTATCTTTGATGCATTTAAATGCTCATTATTATCAATAACTGTTGTCTTGTTTGGGGTTCTGGTTAGAAAAGTCCTTTCTGGCTCTTTTGGTTGTGGTTCTGGTTAAAATCTCTCTTTGTTTTCTGTTTTCTCATTAGGGCACTTTGTGCAATGACTGCTTGTGCTCCACCTTCTGTATTCCCTGCGTTTGGTGTCAGATGGCCACAGAAATGAAGAAGAGGGAACTCCCGACTGTTCTGAGTGACATCATCGGCAGCAAGTGATGCCACTGCTCCAAAGGAGCCTCGGGCATCTCTTTTAATGTATATGTTTAACATTTTTCATGAATTATGTGATCACCATGAGGAAAACCCACGCAGCAACAGCTTATTTGCAGCTGTGAAGAAGCAGTATGAAGGTCAGCTCTGTCTGAGGATGCCCCTGGACCCAGTGCAAGCAGTGGAAGACAGCAGGTTCGGAACTTATTCATCAAAAGACTGTTCTACCCTAGATGCACAAGGGAGCTTTACTACAGATCCTTCCTCCCAGCAGCTGTTGAAATCTTACCATCACTGCTCAATCCAAACTCAGTCAGTGTTTATGTATCTTGTTTTGCACAGTATTTTCATTTTTATAAATGGCCAACTGTTTTTTTTTTTTTTGCATAAATATACATACTCATTTTACAGATCTTTTTTTCAATCACATTAGTCAGTTGCACAGTCACTTGATAGTTTTGATGATGGTGTTTTTAACAATTGGCTCCACAGTATTCTTAGATGTAATTTCCCCATTTGTTCCACTTTTTTATGATTTTGTGATCTTTACCCTTGTGTGTTTATATGCATGCTTTCGTTTGTCTAGCATACATGCCATGTGTCAGCCCTCGTCAAAGCTCCCCCAATCATTTCTGCTCCCAAAAGAACACAGAACAAAATTACTTCAGATTCATACAATCTACCCATAAAGTCCTTTGAGTGTCTTTTGCTGACCCACCCGACATCCATCCCAGACCCACTTCTTGATCCATTGATTTTACCTACAGAGCCAACAGGTCTGTAGATGCAGTAGACATGAGGCTTCACTACGTCCTGCAGCACCTGGGCCCCCAGGAACCTATGCTAGGATCCTGCTTGAGGCCTTCCCCTCTGCTCTCGTCCCTCCTGTAGGACAGGCTCTCCTAGCTGAGCATGCCTGATTCTAGCCTGCTTTGTGTCACAGATTTTCTGACAGCCTAGAAGCAGCATGTGAAGCTGGGAAAATGTGAAGATGGTCTCTGATTTAAGGAATATCAGTACCAGTTCCCTTTTAGGCTTGTTTAGAACAAGCACTTCTAATAAACCTCCGTTACTGAGTCCATCCTCAGCTGTTCCATCATGATATGGTGCGCTGCTGCCACCACCAGGGACAAGAGCAGGTTGCATAATCTGCTCTGCAGAAAGGGTGATTGTCTGCAGTTGTCCTTCTCTTCAGATAATGCATTCTGCAGGAAGGATTGCAGCTTACCCCTCCCACTGTGAAATCAAACTGTTTCACTCTTTTCTCTGCTCATCAGCTCCAAAACCTCTTGCCACAAATCGAACCTCTTCCCGGTTGTAGCTAGACTCATTATCAAGGCCCAATTTTTTTACTGACACTCTCTGTTGCAAATTATATGAATGTCACCTTGACATAAATACTATTTGATTTAGTTGCATTATTTTGTTATATTTTTTAGTATCTGTCAGGGAGCTCGTGCTCCACAAAAAGTTGCACTATTTCCCTTTTTTTCACATAATTTCTATAAATTTCATTGGATTGTTACACATTTTGAATTTCACTTATGTCATCTGTATGTTTGTCTATATTTAGCACCTTACCATCAAATCAGTTTCCTTGTATATGTTAAATGCTGCTGGACAATACACCTTTTTTGATTCTGATGTGCATCACTCATCATTCTGAGGTTTATGTAAACAGCTCATGTTTTGTTTTTTATTTGAAATGTCTAATGGTTTTTCATCAACATATTGCAGCTGTTCCTTATTAGCTTTGCTCAGTGATGTAGATCATTATACATGATAATAATCATTTCTATATGTAAAGTAGAACAATATGGAAAATGAGCATGAAAGTTAGAATAGTCGCAAACATCGCTTAAGAATTACTACATTTGGATTGCCATTTACATTGGCAATTACATAACCGAACCCAATGTCCATGCATGGCAAATGTCAATGAAATGTCAATGGCTGAATCTTCAGCCATTGACATTTCATTTTTCTGATGAAATGTCTCAGAGCAATAAAAAAGAGACCAAACCCACACCTTTAACTGGAAGGTTGCATATTTTTTCTCCAAAGTAAAGAAAGACCACTGTGCAAAGGAAAGAATGTAACAAATTGAGGAATGATATAATAATACTATTTTAGTTTAGGCTCAAATAAAAACCTAAATAAAAAATTATCCTTAAATTTTACACAATGGAAATAGAGAAAAAAAATAAACCAAAGACAAAGATCATGCTTTAATTACAAAGAATCAAGACTAAAATTCCTGATATAAACTAAATAAAATAAAAATATAAATGTTTATTCTTTAAAACGTTCCCTTTCATCCATTCTGAACTTTTACTTTCATCCATACGCACTCCTCATACTTCTCAAACAGTATCCTGCTAAGGATAAAGTTTGAAATGGGATTTTTTCCTAACTGTGAGGACAGTGCCTTTCATGGCAGCAAGACCTCAGATACAGTGATTAATGTCTGCGTATTTGTCTTCTTGGACGGGCTGTACCGAAAGAATTTCCATTTGGGATTAATAAATCTTATTGAATCTAATTGAACTGAAATGAATTGAAATGATAAGAGGTATCTCAATATTCAGAAAAGTTTTATTGTATAAAATATAGGGTCTCTTTATTATAATCTGCTATGCCTCATCTTTTCCAGCTTTGAAGGATTTAATCATGAAAATTATTGAAATTCTATTGGAGATAATTTGAAGGAATAAATGGTGTCACATAATGAAAAACATGTTGTCAAGAATTTGGAAGAAGGAGGCTTAAATTTGATTGATTATGATATAATGAACGGAGTCCTTGAATTAAATTCGCGGAAAGCTTTTCTTAAAATTCAGGTTTGTTTTCCTTTATAGTCACCATATTTTCCAGAAAATAGCTCGAATGGATTCTCTTTTTTTGCTGTAACTTTATCTGTAATTCTTTGTAAGTCAAAATGTCTGAGTTTCATCAGAAAGTATCTTTATACCTGTAATTACACTCCTTCCAAAGCTAAAGTGATACAATTCAAAATAATCAATAGACCATATCCAGTTAACAAGTTTTTGGCATCTAAGTTCAATTTGAATAAAGAAAAGTATGTATTTTGTTTTAGAAGCATTAAGCTCATGAAACATTTCTGTTTCATACAATCTAGTTTATCACTTTTGGACAGATCCCCAAAGAATACTGAACTCTCTTTAATTTCTGAAACAACATTATTATTTTGACTAGAAAATGAAAACATGTCCTTGGAGTATTTTAGAAACTGTCTTATGGATTATTTCCCCTCTCATATCTGTAGGTATTTCAAAACTAAGCTCATATTTAGTCATTGAAGAAACAATTTTGATGTATATTTCCAATCTCTGAGATTATTTAAAGTTAAACGTGATTCAATTAAAATCACAGCTGGGACATATTAACCCAGAATGTAATTTGTTTTTAATTCTACTTACTTGTTTTTAGTTAAATATATTTTATTTTGCTTTAGTGTGTCTTTTTTGGGTGTTCTGTTTGATAGCATTTGGTCCTATTTTTGATAGAAATTATTTTCTGGCTAAACCTGACCTGATGATGAATGGATTTGTGATACATGTAAAAATTGTATATTCTTTATGTTTTATATCTTGTAATTTGCAATTTAAAAAAACAAACAAACAAAAGAAAGAAAAAGCACAATCGAAGGTTGCAATTGGAGTGATGAAGCACTAGTGCGACACCTACTGTCCGGGAAAAGTTAAAACTGTAACTACCTTACTGAAACCTTAAAAAGATTACGTTTTGGGTTTAAGAAATGCTATACATTAACATTTTTACTGATATCGAATGCTTGATTATTTCTTATAATTTATTTATTTATGTATTCATTAAATTTTATGCACCAGAAGAGGATTAGGGCCACTGAAAAAATAAAAAAGTTAACTGATTTTTACATTTTATTTCTGTATAATATGAGAAAAAAAGTCAGAATTCTGAGATTAAAGTCAGAAATGAAATAATATTTAAAAATCAGTTAACTTTTTTCTTTTTTTCAGTCGCCCTAATCTTCTTCTGTAGTATTCTATTAAGTTTGAATAAACGTTAGAATCCTGGCTCCTTGCCGGTAGGTGGCGGTAATGTGCTATTAAGTTGTTTGCCATCCACCAATAAACAACACAAAGAAGAAGAAGGGCAACACGTGATGCAACTGGTAAATGTGAATATTGTGGAGAATGGGAAACAGTAGAACATGTTATTCTAGAATGTGATAAATATGAAAGAGAGAGAAGATGTATGATAAAAGAGTTTGAAAGTATTAAGGTAAAATTTATGTTAATAGATATTTTGAGGGAAAGTTTGGAGAGCAAACATATACAAATAGTTATTAGATTCTTAAAGAAAACTAAGATATTCAGTAGAATTTGATAGAGTAGACATAAGAGTGAATGTGTGGATGATAGTGATGAGTAGAATATAAATATGGATGTAAGTTTGTTTGTGTGGGTTGGTAGGTGTATGTATGAGTATATATAGATATATATATACAAAAAGAGCGTTAGACCAACGAGAGCCACACTCCATACCAGTAAGTGGCGGTAATGCTACTATTAAGTTTGTTGCCAACCGCCAATAAACACAACAAGAAGAAGAAGAAGGGCAACACGTGCGGCAGCCTGGTGGACTGATTGAAGTGAATGTTGTGACTGAGTGAGATTAGAAACGAGCGGTAAATAACCAACTATCGATCAGAAATGACCAAAATAAAGAAGGAGAAAGTCTCTGCGGATGGAGAGGAACCAGCAGCGGCGGAGGCCGGAGGGACGGAGCGGAGCTACACCGAGCTGATCGCTCATCTCAACCCCATCGCTCAGCCGCTGGCCTCCAAGAAGCTCAGCAAGAAGCTCTACAAGTGCGTGAAAAAAGGTAGAAACACCAAAAGAAGCCATCGGTGATATTTAATCTACCGGGTGGAGCTTTAGTTTCTGCTTCTATAACATTATTTTATGCCTGGAGTTACAGAAGGTGTTTGTGTTTTTGCAGCTGCTAAAGTGAAGAACATCCGGAGAGGAGTGAAAGAAGTTCAGAAATTCATCAACAAAGGAGAGAAAGGGTGAGTTACTGAGATAATCTGGGGCATATCGTTATAATCTGGGTTACCTCAGTAGAAGAGCAGCTTTAGGAGAAACTGGGCGAACATGTGGGGAGCTGAGAGGGTTAGAAACATCCTGACTGCTTGGTGAGGCTCAGAGGCCTTAAAGAGTAAAGCAGGGTTTTACTTTTTGGTGCAGCTTAAATGTTTCAGATGAACTGTTTATATTCAGACAAAACCTTGAATCCTTTGTTTTGATCAGCTGTATCTACTGCCTCAGTTGTAGGCCTGGTTACTGCCAGAACGCCAGAAGTCTGAAATAAATATTTGACAGAGAAAGTTAGCAATAAATGGAACGTTTGATACTCTCAGGCAGAAAGATTTACTGAAAAGCTTCCACACAACTTGTCCAGGAAGTCACAGAAGAATTTGGACCCCCTACTGCTCTGCAGGCCCCCCTCAGTTAAGATCAGAGGTCAAATCCAACATTAGGAGACAGTGGACAGCAGGGGCAGATCTAGGATTCTAGGAGATCAGGGGCTAAGCCCTGAGGGCGAAGATGAGAGTGTAGGCTTTCTGGTAAATCCTGTTATAATGCAAAATATGACAGATTACTGGATTTCAGGCATAAAACATCCTATCACACATAACAATTTTTGAGAATTTGGAAGCAGTTGGTCTTTATTTCTCAAAAAATGGATGGATGAATGGATATTTTAGCTGCCTGAAATAATCAGTCCCTCCCACATAAAATGGGAAGAAATTAATTTACCTGCAAGTCTTTAACTGTTTTATTCCTCTCTTCATCAACAACAAATCCTGTGGATTTGGTGACATTTGATCATTATTTACCAGAGTTATGAGAGGAAAATCCAATATTTTAGCCACCTGGACTGGGCTGGGCTAAAGTGGCAGCAGTGAGAGAAACTCTTCTTCTTATGCATGGGAATGCTACAGGCTGCTTTCCTGTGCATGCTGCCACTCTCTGATTGATTCCAGTGCTGCACATTTTACTCAGCTCAACTTAGAAGCGAGATCCCGGGCCTTAGGAAAACATCCGGGGCTGGTGCCCAAGTAGCCACCCCCTAGATCCACCACTGGTGGACAGTAATGGCCTCTATGGGAGCATTTCAGAGCAGACCCCATAAGGAGAAAAATGCCTGACTCACAGTTTCTAGGTCTGACCTACAGTCACTCCTGGTTGGTTGTAGGGGTGTAAATCACATCCATCATGGCGATTCGATTCAGTATCGATTTCCTGACCCAATGGTTCGATTATTTTCGATACTCAAGAATACACCACGATTCGATTAATCGATTAAGCGGTTAATTTTTTTAATTATTATTATTATTTTTTTTTACACCTTACAGGCTAAACAAAGTTTCAAGTTTGAAATAAATAAATGAAAGCTGTAATATCATTATGCATTTTCATTAGAAACAACAGCAAATAACAGAAGTAGAAAAGTTGCATCAAAAAATACTGCAAAAATACTGCACAATATCAGTGTAATGAGTTCAATGCAATACCTCGGTTCCAGAGAAACTGTCCAACATATTTTTTTTAGAATGTAATAAATATACTCAGGAAAGAGAGATGTTGCTTAGAGAGTTAGACAGGAATAAAAATAAACTAGATATAAGGGAATTGTTTCAAAGGTCATCTGGGGATGTAGTTTTTGGTAGTATTTTTAATTTTCTAAGAAGAACGGGTATTTTAGGGAGAATATAATAGTTTGTCTGGTCCATACTCCATTCTGGAAGGTGGCGGTAATGCACCTATAAGTTGTTTGCCAACCGCCATTAAAAAAAAGAAGAAGAAGAAGAAGGCTCCAGAGTGTCAACGTCACCGCCCCCTTGAGAGACGCTCCGCTGCACCTCTCCCAGATTGTAGCTGACCGCAAACAGTGCAGCAGACAGGAGGCCGGCTTGTTTTGTTTTTATGACCGAAATTGCGGAAAACAACTCGTGAAGTTTGACCCGCTAGAAGAGCGAGGTGAGCGAGACCGCTGAGACCCTTTTTCCAGCTGAATCTCCGCTCTTTTTGGCCCTCATGTCCCTCCGTCGTCGGACTAAACTCGTCCCCACTTCCTCACCGCCTCGGCCGTATCTAGACCCACAGTGTGTAGCTCAGACCACGCTTCAATACTGAGCATAATTTAAAAATGTCTGTGTGAAGCTTGCTGCAACAAACTGCTGTAAGAGTATAACCAGGAAGTGAGGTAGGAGGGCAAAATAGGTTTAGCGCCACCGCAGCACGGGAGGGAGAACTACGCCCAGGAGCAAATGGATAAAAATAGACCGGAGGGAAAAAAAACATGAATCGATTATCTTGCGGACGTGTCGATGCATCGGAACGTCGGCTTTTGGATCGATGCATCGATACAAAACGATTATTATTTACACCCCTAGAATGGTTGGTTGACTGTATTGATCTCACAGTGGAGAAATTTACCCGTTACTTTGGCTCAAAAGTCAAAAAGAAGAAGTTGCCAAAAGGAGGAAAAGGTGCATGGTGTGTTTATATACAGGTGCTGGTCATAAAATTAGAATATCATGAAAAAGTAGATTGATTTCAGTAATTCCATTTAAAAAGTGAAACTTGTATATTATATTCATACATTACATACAAACTCATATATTTCAGATGTTTATTTTGTTTAATTTTGATGATTACAAATGACAACAAATGAAAATCTCAAATTCATCATATCAGAAAATTAGAATATTGTGAAAAGGTTCAAAATTGATGGCCCCTGGTGCCACACTCTAATCACCTAATTAACTCAAACCACCTGCAAAAGCCTTTAAATGGTCTTTCAGTCTAGTTCTATAGGCTACACAATCATGGGGAAGACTGCTGACTTGACAGTTGTCCAAAAGACGACCATCGACACCTTGCACAAGGAGGGCAAGACACAAAAGGTCATCGCTAAAGAGGCTGGCTGTTCACAGAGCTCAGTGTCCAAGCACATTAATAGAGAGGCGAAGGGAAGGAAAAGATGTGGTCGAAAAAAGTGTACAAGCAAGAGAGATAACCGCACCCTGGAGAGGATTGTGAAACAAAACCCCTTCAAAAATGTGGGGGAGATTCACAAAGAGTGGACTGCAGCTGGAGTGAGTGCTTCAAGAACCACCACACACAGACGTATGAAAGACATGGGTTTCTGCTGTCGCATTCCTTGTGTCAAGCCACTCTTGAACCACAGACAGCGTCAGAAGCGTCTTGCCTGGGCTAAAGAGAAACAGGACTGGACTGCTGGTGAGTGGTCCAAAGTCATGTTCTCTGATGAAAGTAAATTTTGCATTTCCTTTGGAAATCAAGGTCCCAGAGTCTGGAGGAAAAGAAGAGAGGCACTTCATCCACGTTGCTTGAAGTCCAGTGTAAAGTTTCCACAGTCAGTGATGGTTTGGGGTGCCATGTCATCTGCTGGTGTTGGTCCATTGTGTTTTCTGAGGTCCAGGGTCAACGCAGCCACATACCAGGAAGTTTTAGAGCACTTCATGCTTCCTGCAGCTGACCAACTTTTTGGAGATGCAGATTTCATTTTCCAACAGGACTTGGCACCTGCACACAGTGCCAAAGCTACCAGTACCTGGTTGAAGGACCATGGTATCCCTGTTCTTAATTGGCCAGCAAACTCTCCTGACCTTAACCCCATAGAAAATCTATGGGGTATTGTGAAGAAGAAGATGCAATACACCAGACCCAACAATTCAGAAGAGCTAAAAGCCACTATTAGAGCAACCTGGGCTATCATAACACCTGAGCAGTGCCACAGACTGATCGACTCCATGCCACGCCGCATTGCTGCAGTAATACAGGCCAAAGGAGGCCCAACTAAATACTGAGTGCTGTACATGCTCATACTTTTCATGTTCATACTTTTCAGTTGGCCAACATTTCTATAAATCCTTTGTTTTTATTGGTCTTCAGTAATATTCTAATTTTCTGATATGATGAATTTGGGATTTTCATTTGTTGTCATTTGTAATCATCAAAATTAAACAAAATAAACATCTGAAATATATGAGTTTGTATGTAATGTATGAATATAATATACAAGTTTCACTTTTTAAATGGAATTACTGAAATCAATCTACTTTTTCATGATATTCTAATTTTATGACCAGCACCTGTGTATATATATATATATATTAGGGGTGGAACGGTTCACAAAAATCACGGTTCGGTTCACGGTTTCGTGGTCATGGTTTTCGGTTCGGTATAAAATAAAATAAAAAAAATTTTTGTAATGAAAAAATCCCCAAAAAATTATGAATTGTAATTATTTTTAATTATTCGCGGAAACCATGAATCATTTCCGCATGTTTAGCTGCTTTGAATTTAATCATCTCGCGCATGCCCTCTACGATCCCAAAGGAACTCAGAGGGGAGCGGACGGGAGCCACAGAGGAGGCTGTATGCTTTGCATTGTGCAGGCGGTCTGGAGCACAGCGGGACGGGGCGCCGATGGAGTAGGTGTGATTTTTGATTTCTGATTTCGGGGGTTAGCATGACATGTTGGCCGTGTTGCTGTTAGCATAAACAAAACGTGTTGCACAATGCTTGCACACTGTTGCATTTTTATCCACAACTTTCTTTCCGCCGTCATCGTAGGCATTCTCCACAACAACTGATTTCTTTCTGCTACACGCGGCTTCGCTTCTTCTTCTTGTCTACTGGTGGTTGGCTTTGGTCACATTACCGCCACCATCTGCTCTGGAGTGTAACCGCTTCACCTATGAGAAAAAGGAGCAGTGCGTGAACCGAACGCAACACACGCGAATCAAACCGAGACAGAAGAACCGGACGGTTTGGACGGTTTTCATAAACCGTTCCATCCCTAAAAAAAATTATATATATATATTTTAGAGTTGTCACGATACTAAACTTTTCAACTCAATACCGATACTAAGTAAAATATTCGATACTCGATGTCATTTTCGATACCACAAGGATAAAAACGACTCCAAAATTCAACAGAAATTTTTTCATTAATAAACAAAATACAATAAATAGATAAATAAATACAATAAACAATATTTTGAGGTTGCTTGCTGTGCACAATATTAAGCAAGCTTGATAAAAAGTTTACTAAATTAAAATTAAGTGTTCCTTCCTTGGCTATGCTTTACACACATAGCAATGACAGCCAAACCAGTTAAAAAACAAAAATAATTCTCAGCAGCTGCACCTGTTACAGAAAAAAGTCTGAAACCGAAAAGTGCACAGAATTATTCAGTCACACAGTGCTCAGAAAGTGCATTTTCCTCTAATCTGCGCATAAGATAAATGACTGTTTAGGTGCCACTGGTGTAGCACTGAATCGATACTTTTGAAAATGAGTATTGTATGCGGATACTCCTTTTCAGTATCGATACTTTTTTGAGTATCGATTCTTTTGACAACCCTAATATAGATATAGAAAGACACAAAGATACATTAAGAACAAACATTTTGAAACAACAGAAGAGTGTTCCGAAACAAAACAACCGTTTTGAAAAAAAAAGGAGTGTTCCGAAACAAAACAACCGTTTTCAAACGACAGCAGAAGAAGGAGAGTGTTCCGAAACAAAACAACCGTTTTCAAACGACAGCAGAAGAAGGAGAGTGCTCCGAAACAAAACAACCGTTTTCAAACGACAGCAGAAGAAGGAGAGTGCTCCGAAACAAAACAACCGTTTTCAAACGACAGCAGAAGAAGGAGAGTGCTCCGAAACAAAACAACCGTTTTCAAACGACAGCAGAAGAAGGAGAGTGCTCCGAAACAAAACAACCGTTTTCAAACGACAGCAGAAGAAGGAGAGTGTTCCGAAACAAAACAACCGTTTTCAAACGACAGCAGAAGGAGAGTGCTCCGAAACAAAACAACCGTTTTCAAACGACAGCAGAAGGAGAGTGTTCCGAAACAAAACAACCGTTTTCAAACGACAGCAGAAGAAGGAGAGTGTTCCGAAACAAAACAACCGTTTTCAAACGACAGCAGAAGAAGGAGAGTGCTCCGAAACAAAACAACCGTTTTCAAACGACAGCAGAAGAAGGAGAGTGTTCCGAAACAAAACAACCGTTTTCAAACGACAGCAGAAGAAGGAGAGTGCTCCGAAACAAAACAACCGTTTTCAAACGACAGCAGAAGAAGGAGAGTGCTCCGAAACAAAACAACCGTTTTCAAACGACAGCAGAAGAAGGAGAGTGTTCCGAAACAAAACAACCGTTTTCAAACGACAGCAGAAGAAGGAGAGTGCTCCGAAACAAAACAACCGTTTTCAAACGACAGCAGAAGGAGAGTGTTCCGAAACAAAACAACCGTTTTCAAACGACAGCAGAAGAAGGAGAATGTTCCGAAACAAAACAACCGTTTTCAAACGACAGCAGAAGAAGGAGAGTGCTCCGAAACAAAACAACCGTTTTCAAACGACAGCAGAAGGAGAGTGCTCCGAAACAAAACAACCGTTTTCAAACGACAGCAGAAGGAGAGTGCTCCGAAACAAAACAACCGTTTTCAAACGACAGCAGAAGAAGGAGAGTGCTCCGAAACAAAACAACCGTTTTCAAACGACAGCAGAAGGAGAGTGTTCCGAAACAAAACAACCATTTTCAAACGACAGCAGAAGAAGGAGAGTGTTCCGAAACAAAACAACCGTTTTCAGTCGACAGGGCTATTTCTCAATTCACGAGATATCGATGTAGAAAGACAGAAAGATACAGATTAGGGTTGTCACGATACTAAACCTTTAAACTCGATACAGATACTAAGTAAAATATTCGATACTCGATGTCATTTTCGATACCACAAGGATACAAACGACTCCAAAATTCAACAAATTTTTTCATTAATAAATAAAATACAATAAATAGATAAATAAATACAATAAACAATATTTTGAGGTTGTATGCTGTGCACAATATTAAGCAAGCTTGATTAAAAAATAAATCTTACAAAATTAAAATTAAGTGTTCCTTCCTTGGCTATGCTTTACACACATAACAATGACACTAGCCAAACCAGTTAAAAAACAAAAATAATTCCCAGCAGCTGCACCTGTTACAGAAAAAAGTCTGAAACTAAAAAGTGCACAGAATTATTCAGTCACACAGTGCTCAGAAAGTGCATTTTCCTCTAATCTGCGCATAAGATTAATGATTGTTTAGGTGCCACTGATGGTAGCACTGTTTCGATACTTTTGAAAATGAGTATTGTATCCGGACACAACTATTCAGTATCGATACTTTTTTGGGTATCAATACTTTTGACAACCCTAATTAATATAAATATATATATATATATATATATATATATATATATATATATATATATATATATATATATATATATATATAGCTTCGTATAGTTTAATGTGAAAGTGATGTTATGGATACGTTTTGCTTTTTTTAAGACTAGAAATCCTGATCATTGGGTTGTGACCTTGAGTCAGTTCACAATAGCATAGCGATCTCACGTTCACCAGTAAACCCAACCCTTAAAGTCTGTGCTTTAAAGTGGCCTATTCAAAGACTGCACTTAAAAGGAACACTGAGATCTCATTAATGGTGGTTCCATTAGGATCCTTTCAATTCACCCTTAAATGAAAAATGTTGTGGGTGTGTTTGTTTCAAGGTTTTTGTCAGCTCTCCAGGATGAAGCAGCTGGATCACTGACTAGAACAAGCAGACACAGACCTCCACATAGAAACACAACAGAGACCCTACAGTCTTTATTAAAAATGGTTAAAACTGATGAAACAGGGTCTGATATTTACAGAAAAAAATGGACTAAAATCAGTCACTAAGCAAACTTGCTTGTGAACCTTCCACCACAACAATCCCATCCCCTTGATAAACAATCAATCCCATTCACTTTATTCACTCGTGTAAAGTCGGGCGCCACTCTGGAGAATTCAGAACTGCAACGGTTGGAACAGCCACTTCCCTACGACTTTAAACACAATTGTACTTTTTGAGCAGTGTAGAATTAGTTATTAACACGTTTCAGATAATTCCCTCCATGCTCACAGTGGTTGTGATGCTGTCTTTCCCCTGCAGTATTGTGGTTTTGGCCGGCGACACGCTGCCCATAGACGTCTACTGCCACCTGCCAGTCATGTGTGAGGACAGGAGCCTGCCATATGCCTACATCCCGTCCAAAGTGGTGAGTGTAAACCCAAAACCATATGAATTGACCTGTTTTAGAGTTTCTTATGTCTATTCATTGGCCTCTAATGTTTTTGTCAAATGTATAGTAAAAAGCTTGCAATATCAGATTCTCAGTTTAGAATGTATGCATTAGCTTTTTCTGCAACTTTTATTTTCTCGTATTCTTGTCCTGTAGCTGACGTTTCTCTTATTTTAATTTCTTCTACCTCAAGCAAAAACATTTCCCCTCCTTCTCCCTCTCCTTTATGTTAAACCTGTCTGAATGGCTGTACTTTTTGAAATCCCTCTGCAGGATCTGGGTTCATCTGCTGGATCCAAACGGCCAACCTGCGTGATCCTGATCAAACCTCACGAGGACTACCAGGACGCCTACAACGAATGCTTAGAGGAGGTAACCAGCCTCCCTAAACCGTTGTGAGACAGCCAATCAGGATGCAGCTCTGATCTTTGATGCAAGGCTGCGGTTTGCCCCTCTTTTTCCTGAAACTCCCTGTTCCCACATCTGTGTTAATCTGAGCTAATGATGTTGGGATGGCAGGAGAGGAACTTCTTTGGACATGAGGGCTGAGAGACACTGCCCCCTGCTGGACACATGAAACCTTGATTTTGAAATTTTGATCTTTACATAATTTGAGCAGTTATTGATCCCTGAACAGTTAAAGCTCTAATGGACTTCCTTTTGTTTCGAATGGTTAGGCAACATTTGAATAATTTTTTTTCTTGTCGTATTTTATTAAAAACATTTAAAGAGGCTTGAGTGTCTGAAGTCATTTCTTTGAATGAAATATAAGTTTTTTGCTAAACAAGAATTCTTCTTCTGCTTCATCTAACCAGAGATCTGTGCCACGAAGCGAGCTGAACGTAGCGGGATAACTTTCAGCCTATCCAGTTAAACCCATTCATACTATTGTTAATCAGAATCAGTGGTACCAGGAAGCTGGTTATCAATGTACTAACTTAATCCAGCTTAAACTGATCAGGAATCTGAACACGTGGAAAAAGGTGCAGATCCCAGGCAGCAGAACGATCACAGTCATGAGCGCAGAAAGGAGCGCGGTGTACAGAAACTCATCTTGCAGAAATGAGGAAAAAAAATCTTTTCTCAATGAAAAATCAAACACAGAGACGCCAAATAGCCCGGCAGAGGATGGCTGACTGTGTAGATATGAAAGTTGCACATCAGTGACATTTACCACAGCCTGCATCCCAATCACCAGCGCCTCAGGAGTGAAGAGGATTTGGGAGCAGACAAAAATACAACCCACTTTCATCTGGTTAGCTGGACTTTTTAATTCAATGTTTGGGCTACAATAAAGTAGAAGCTGATGCCGCAGTTGCATCGTATTAATACGAAGTGATCAGTCTAAAGTAATCCTGATTATAGATCCATGTCAGAACTCAGCGGGACAGATAGTTAAATACCTGCTCTGCTTTTAAAATGCTGAAAGTCACCAAATGCAGCCCTAAATGTGAAAAAAAATGCCTTAATGTTTTTTCATGTTAAATGTTTCAGTCTCCTACACTTCTGCTCTACATGATCAAAGTTCCATTTCACAGGAACATTACAGCCGGTTCTCTCTTCTGTTTTGTTTTTCCTGACCGATTACCATTAATATTGGTGCAGCTTCAGTGTAATATTTACCCTATGCCAAAAGGTCCCATTCCTGGGATTGCACAGTCGACAGTGTTCTAGGATCTGGTATATATATGCCAATCAGGTTTTAGGACAAATTCTGTGACCCGTCATATACTGTGACTCAAGCACCTGCTGTCTACTAAGATTCCTATCTAAACCTAAAGACGTCTAGTGAGAAACATGTAAGTGTCCCCTTGTGTCATAAACATGATGGCGGCGAGTCCATCACAGGGTTTAACTGTCTTTTCCAGATCAGAAACTTTCTACCTGTTCATTACTTCTCTAAAGCGTCTCCGAATTGCAGAACCTTCTCACCGTTTTATAGTCACCTGTAGACTTTCCTGGTTGGTTCGGCTGGATTTTCCTTTTAATTAAATATCTAGTAGGCTATCAGTTTAGCAGTCATCAGATATTTAAATTGTTACTGAAGAAAACTCTGCTCTTGTTCATGTTTTTGTGTGATTTCTTGCTATTTATTTTGGAACTGTCTCATTTCCTCATATTTTTCTATAAATATTCTTTATCATTAGTAGGCCTAGAGCAGGTGTTGACTTCATCCAACCCAACAGATAATAAAGCCTTTGCTTGTTGTTGCCTTTGCAGAGTTTATTTTTTATTTTTTAAGCTTTTATGCATTTAAAGTTGATCGCTCCTGGTTTAACTCCTCCTGGTCAGTAAGTGGTGCACTCAAACACACCCTCCTGTCGCCTACTGCTTGCCAGCTGGTCTGCTAAAGCTGGAGCTTGAACCTGTCTGAGCAAATGAAAAGCAACACCTCTGCTTTACTGTTTACAGCTGCAAAATAAGGGAACTCTGTCCTGAAAACTAAAGCTCTTTTAAGAAACAGATATGTTATCACAGAACTCAGCAATGATTACCCTCAACCCCTTATTAAAGGAATAGTACACCCAAAACATGATTAGCCTTCATTTTCTACTCACCCCCATGCTGAACAACACCCTGGAGTACTTTTTTGATATCTCAAATGCATCTGGAGATCTGGGAGGCTTCTTGCTGTCTGCTGACATTCAAATAATGGAGGTCTATGGTGCCCGAGACAGAAAGGTCCATAAAAGTCCACAAAAAACGTGTCAATATTCCTCCATACTGCTCGTCCAATGTATTCCAAGTGTCCTGAGTGGGTAGCATCCCGAATTTACTCGAAACGAAGTCATTTAGAATGTTTTTAGAGCATAAACAGTAGTGTATAGGATTTCCTGAAAGCGCGCACATGCGCGTTCACGACGCTACGGACGCCGGCGCATTTTTATGCGCTTTTATGTACACATTTTTTTTATTTTAACATTTTATTATTATTTCATTGAACTTTATTGATCTCACATTGGAGAAATTAACCTCTGCATTTATCCCATCCCCTTAGGGAGCAGTAGGCTGCCACTGTGCAGCACCCGGGGGAGCAATCATGCGTTAATGGTCTTGCTCAGAATCCCACTCCCACAGTGTCAGTCTGTGGGAGTGGGATTCCCACTCAGAACATCAGGATTCCAAGCTCTCTGCCCTGACCACTAGGCAGCCACTCCCCATAATATTGCGTCTCCCCATTATATTATTACCTGTTTCTATGGTGTAACAAAAAAAGATGCACTATAGCCAGTTGGCTACTTCTGGTGTTTTTACAGCAATGTTTATTATTTACATTATCGTCCCTGAAAAAAAGTTGCTCATTGATAAATAACTGCAATTATTGAATTTAACCACTAGATGTCAGCAGATCACAGTTTAAACTACATGTTTGCTGTGAATTATTAATGCTTCATTCCACAATTTTTGCTAAACTTTTCTTGACCTACCTTTGCTAGCAAATATGACCTGAAGTCTTATTGAATAAAAGGTCATTCAGCTGCAGGGCATCTCAAGTTTCAACATCAGTGCACAGCTATTTTCCTATCTCTTCACAGATTCAAGTCTGGATTTTGGCTTTGCAACTCAAGGACATTCACAAAGTGATTCTGAAGCCTCTCTTTCAGACCTTGTCTGGGTCTTTTGGGTTCTTTCCTCAGTCTGCAGTTAAACAAACTGTAGAGGGTTTTTATCCATTAGCTCTCTTTATTGCTGCATTCATCCATTTATAGTACGTACAATTTGATTTTACGAGTCTGTCAGTTGCAGCCTCTGAAAAGCATCCCATAACATGATGCTTCCACCACCATGCTTTTTTGTAGGGGTGATATATACTTAGTAATGACATGATATTCACTTAAAAGAGTTAAGTTTTTATCTCATTGAAACAGAGCATTTTTTTCCTCATGGTCTGTGAGTCATTTCTGGGCCTTTTGGTCAACTACAGGTGGGCCATTTTATGCCTTTCATTAGCAAGTGGCTTTCATCTGGCTGAATAGCTGGAATGCTCCGACGTCGAGAATCAAGAATCCACCTTTCGTATTCCATTTTCAGAGTTTTTTAAAGTGTTTAACAGAGACATTAGCACCTCGACGTCGGAGTACACAGAGTGAAGCGAAAAGACTACAACTGTGTAAACAGGCCCCATTTCCGTTTCCGGTGGCAGGGGAATATTGACTATTCCAACAGAACTCAATGGGATTTACAAAATGCTAAATAAAACACTACAGGAACGTTTTTTCTTTACGAAACTTTTTTTGGAACGTCATTGAACAGCGCTGACGACCCGGTGAGTAGCATATTTTAAAAAAAGAACGTTTAAGGTTGTTTTAAGGACATTATCGGACATGCACTATGGAAGCCATTCTGAAGCAGCCAGGGGTGGATTCTAAATGAGCCAAAAAGCAGAGACAGGAGCAATTGTCAAAATTTTGGTGTCGATCATTCGATTTCATCCTGGACACTACAGAAAATGGGCTAAAAGTGTTAAAAACCGGAATTCTCCTTTAACAACCTCTTAGTACATTTTGAAGTGTAACAGTAACACCTAGAGTTAAGTTTAACCAATCCCACTCTGGATTACTGTTAACTATTTCTATATAGTCCATATCTTACTCCAATGGTTCTTGTAATAACTCTGAAAGAATCCATTTACTTTGAAAATGCACATTCAACACTGTGGAATTTACTGCGTCAGACTGATGTTTGTGGTTATAGTACATTAGTTAGCTCTTTATATCATTTTTAGCCACTATTTAGAGACATTGTGGAGGAATCAAAGAGCTGCATATGGCTCTAGAGCCACAGGGTCATGGCCCCTGTTCTAGAGTGAGGTTCTTGGCCCCCTTCTCCCCCCATCACTCACTTTAAACAGCTTGGCAGCTCTAGTTCTAACATTCACTGCCAACTGATCTTAAATATAAAGCCAAATATTTCCTTTTCCAGATCACATTCAATCAGCTGAATTCACAGAGGAAAATGACTCACCTTGGCTTTATTCAAAGCTCCTGTACAGTAAATACTCAGATAGATTAAAGTTTGTTTCACTTTCAGGATGTGCTGTATGTTCATTGGACCATTAATAACCAGTAATAACGGTGCTGCAATGCCATTTCATAACTGCCGCTTTATCAAACCGTCTTCTTTTATTTTGATTATTGTTAAAAAGACATTTCCCTCTTATCTAGACCATTAATCCTCTACATCTTAATCTTTTATTAATCAAGTCATCAAAGACCATCAAACCAAATGATTTGTTTAATTGTTATAGTAATTCATACTGTTAGCTGTTTTTTTTTTTTTTTTTTTTTTTGTCTGCTTGTGTTTAACTTAATTCTCTTGCTGTAAAATATATGGAGATATTCTTTAATGGCTGTTGGCTACTATGTTCTAAGTCTTTTAAAGTTGCATTTTTTTATGTAAATTTTTAATTCCTCCTGTTGGAAACGGCCTCATGACAGCATTGACTCATAATGTTTTTAGATAACTTAAAACATTTTATTTTACAGTTGATCACCTTTGTTTTGTTCAATTATATGAAGTTCTTGACAAAACAGTTTTTGACAAATTACTTTTTTTAAACAAACTGGTCCTAGTTGTGCTGAACGTAACCCAAATGGACTGCTTCTTTCTGATGAAATTCACAAAAAATAAACAATCAACAAAAATAACGTTAAGCTTCATAATATCTGCTGAGAGCGACTGCTCTGGATCATTTAAACCAAAAAACAGATCAGCTACTGAATTTCTGCTCTA